CAAATTAGTTTATTTCTTCCTTAACGTTTGCTACAAATTATTTTCAATTGTAGTTGTAAGCCTAAGTTCCCAAACAATGTTTCACCAGAAATTTCGAGGCTATGGTAAGTACGCCTAATTCATAAATAAACTTACTATAGAATTTCCTTGTTAATATATGGATAAACCTCATTTTTTTTACACTGAAATGGGAACAACTTTTCTGACACAGAGCTTATAAACCCACTGAATGCTTACTAATTTCTCAATAACTTCTTATTTATTATTCATCTCTATTCATTAACTGGTTACTCGTGTTAATAAACAATTTACCCTTGCCTTCACGTACTGTTTGAAATTTCTAGATTCCTGACGTTATCGAAGTGACGAGATCCTTCTGTCAAGCATCTAAATTAAACGATAAAAATATAGCTCACAACAAAGTGTTCCTCTTAAAATTTAAAGTCTCCACTGCAAACATTATTCTATGTTAATGGGTTTTTTAGCATCTTCCTTACTAATTTTGTTTCATAGTGGCTCAGCAGTAAGTATGCAAACTTACGAAAATAAAATTCTGGTTTCGGTACTCGTGGTGGGAAGAAAACAGATAGCTCATTGTGTAACTTTGCGCTTAACAACAACCAAACCTAACTAATTTTTACGAAAGTTTTTTTTACTAAGCTGCAATGAGCAAAATAGAATACACCATCCAAAGTCTTACAATTTTGTCAGTAAATGGAGAAAAACCACTAAGAAAAATAAAATGAATAAGACATATGGTGTGGCAACTTTACATGTAATGATGTAGAAAGAGCAGTTAATTAAAAATTAACTTGAAGTTATCATTTCACACAATTTTAAACATAACTAATTGGCTAATAATGTTGGAAATGAAAATGTTATATACCTCTCACAAAAGCGGCAACTTCATTATTTGTTTCCAAACAAAAATTAGTTAAATATTAAATATAACTAGAAACTCAAAAATGGTGCGTTGAACGGAAACCAGAAATATGGTATTGTTGCGTCATCGAGATCACGTGACTATTCTCACGCCCTCTCCTTTCTAGAACTTTCCTGTAGTTTGGCGAATGCTCTAGCATTTACTAGATATAGGG